GGAGAATTATGTATACATATTATATATTACTACTAGATTACTTTCGGGTCTCCCAGAGCAATCTAGTAGTAATATATAATATATATTCCATATAGAGAGAATTATTTCTACTGAAATATAAAGATTATCTTCTAACTTTATCACATATATACTTCTGTTTAGAGTTATGTTAAAACAATATATATATGTATATATATATATATATATATAGAGAGAGAGAGAGAGAGAGAGAGAGATGGAAGGCTCAGTGGCAAAAGTGCCTGTCTTGCAGGCTGCAGGCTGAGGTCAGAGAGGCGAGTGAGTCCAATTCTCTAACAATGACCCAATGTCCACATGTGATCCCAGCACCCCTACTGTCTGAGAGCCTTGACACCACGTGTGATTTCCAGTGCAAGCAATGTAAACAAATGGGTGAGTCAACCAAACGTGTGACCTCCACTTGTCACTGAAACAAATGGGAAAGAGAAGGGAAATAAAAGTAAAGCTCCTTAAAACACACACACACACACACACACACACACACACACGTAGATCAATAAAACAATGATGTCGAGAGTCAGGGAGATAGCACAGCAGACATGGTTCTTGCCTTGCACACAGCTGAGCAGGTTTGATCCCCAGCATCCCATATGGTCACCTGAGCATGCCAGGAGTGGTTTGTAAGTGCTGACGCAGGAGTAACTCCTGAGCATGACCAGGTGTGCATCACCCACCCTCCTGCAAAAACAAAAACAAAAACCCAAAATGTGAATGTTCACAGCACCACTGAAGTCCATTCTTCCTATAAATGTTTTCCTTGAACTTGGAGCAGCTCCCCAACTTTCTCCTACTAATATGTCAGTCCCCAACTTGTCATCATAATGTCTCTTTGGATTAGATTAAAATTTTTATAATAAGGTACAAAATTACATGACCAAAATATTTTGAGTCAGTTGGAGTTCTGGGCTGGAGCGATAGCACAGAGGGTATGGTTTTGCCTTGCACACGGCCAACATGGCCAACCCGAGTTCGATTCCTCCGCCTCTCTTGGAGAGCCTGGCAAGCTACCTGTGACATACTCGATATGCCAAACACAGTAACAAGTGTCACAATGGAGACGTTACTGGGCCTGCTCGAGCAAATCAATGAACAATGGGAGGACAGTGACAATGACAGTTGGAGTTCTCAGCACATCCTAGACAAATTTGTTTATGTTTTCTTTCTAGATCTCTGATTGTAGTTCTGCTGGTGTGGTTTTCTCTCCCACTTTGTGTTCTTGGCTAGAGTGTTTTAGGTATCATTTTTATGATTAAAAGGGATGTCCCATTTACTTTTTAAAATTGTCTTAGTCTAGGAGTAGCTTAAATCATTTTTTAAATTTTAGCCATCATTTACACTTTTATAATACTGTCAATGGTCTTTTGTTCATACAACACTCCACCACAAGACTCTCTACCTTCATGTCATTCCCCACTCACCATTATCTACCCTGATGTCCAAACCAGAGGCATCACTAAAAACAAAGAAAATTATAAGACCTATGTCCCTGATGAATATAGATTCAAAGATGTTCAACAAAGTACTAATAAGCTTAATTCAACAATATGTCAGAAAAATCATACACCATGACCAATACTTCAAGTCAGTCAATGTAATATACCACATAACGAGGAAAAATAATCTTATCACTGGATGCACAGCAAGTGTTTGACAGGATAAACACCCTTGATAAACACTCTAGCTAGACTGGAGATAGAAGAAGATAGAACCTTCCTAAATATAGTTAAAGCAGTTTTTACCTTGAACTCACAATTAGCATCATAGTGATTAGTGAAAAACTGAAATTCTCCCCCACTAAGATCAGGCACAAGAGAAAGTTGTGAACTCTCACCACTATTATTCAATATAGTATTGGATATCCTTGCCACATTGGATGTCCTTGTCAGGTGAGGAAGAGGTAGCGAAGGCATCCAGATCGAAAAATAAGTGAAATTAGGGTCTAGAGAAAGTCCAGCAGGTAGAAAGCTTGACTTGCTTTTAGCCAATTTTTGTTCTATCCCTTACACCCTATATGATATACCCCGAGTTCTAGCGGGACTAGATACCTGAGCACAGATTCAGGAGTAATCCCTGAGCACTGCTGAGCACTGCACAACAACCAAAAAAAATCCAAATTATCACTATTCACAGATGGCCCTTATGTGTATTCATGGTTCTAATATAACATTTTTAAATATTATATTAGAAAACCTTAAAGACTCGACAAAAAAAATCTGAAAACAATAAACACATACCGGAAAGTAGCAGCCTACAAAATCAGCAAACATAAATCCATGACATTCCTATATGTAAAAAATGTAATGAAAGATGGTAACCAAAATGAGTCAGAAAGAGAGGAATAGACATAGAAAGATTGTATTCATCTGGGAAACATGTCACTATCACTGTCACCGTCCTCCCGTTGTTCATTGATTTGCTCGAGCGGGCCCAGTAACGTCTCCATTGGAGACTTTGTTGTTACTGTGTTTGGCATATCGAATACATAACAGGTAGCTTGCCAGGCTCTGCCGTGCGGGTGAGATACTCTCGGTAGCTTGCTGGGCTCTCCGAGAGGGGCGCTGGAGCGATAGCACAGCGGTAGGGCGTTTGCCTTGCACGCAGCTGGGGAATATAAAGTAACAAAATAGGAGACTAACACCCAAGAATAGCCGAGATAAGTACCAGGAGGTTCACTCCATGGCTTGGAGGCCAACTGCACATGCTAGGGGAAAAGGCAGCTCAGATAGAGAAGGGAGCACTAAATAAAAGGTGTTGGGAGGATCCTCCCAGGATGGAAGTTGCATGCTGAGAGTAGACTATAGACCGAACATGATTGCCACTCAATGCCTGTTTTGCAAACCACAGCACCCAAAAGGAGAGAGAGAGCAAAGGGGAATATGCTGCCACAGAGGTGGGGTGGGATGGAGGTATGCGGGGGTTGGGAGGGATACTGGGATCATTGGTGGTCGAGAATGGGCACTGGCGGAGGGAGGGGTACTCGACCACTGTATAACTGAAACCCAAGCACAAAAAATTGTAAGTCTAAAATTCTTTTAAAAAAAGTAATGAAAGAAAAAAAAATTTAAAAACCGTCTCATTCACAATGGCACTTAAAAAATCAAATACCTGGGAATCATCTTAACAGAAGTGAAAATCTTTTTAAGGAAAATTATGTATCATTGCTAAAACAAGTAAAAGAAGACATAAAGAAATAAAACTAACCTGTGCTTATGTATTGGAAGGATTAATAGGGTCAAAATGACAATCCTACCCAAAACACTACAGATTCAATGCAGTTCCCATAAAGAAAATTTTTTTGAACACAAAAAAAACGTTGAAAATGTTTTGTTGTTGTTTTATTGGACCACAGTTGGTAGTGCTCAGGGATTACTCCCAGTTATGTGCTCAGCGATCATTCCTGGTGGATCCTGGTAACCATATGTGTGTGTGTGTGTATGTATACAGGGTGCCAGGGATCAAACATGAATTGATTGCATGCAAAGTAAGCACCCTACCTGTAGTACTATCACTCTGGTTCTACACTGCTGAACTATTTATGAAGCACTGAACCCCCACGAAGAGCTAAAGCAATTCCAGGAAAAAAGAGGATGGGAAGCTTTTCTCTTTACAGGCTTCAATTATAGTAATACAAAACATTTGGGACTGGAAAAAGACTTTCCCATTGCTTTAAGTAGAAATGTAATTCAAATATTTCTATATCACCATTGATTCACTGAATATATTTTAAGATGCCACTTCCACATTAATATATTCATTTATATTAGTGTGGACTTTTGTCTTATTCACTTAGCTATATCCATTACGATTTATTATTTTTGGTTTTGAAGCCACATATGGTGGTTCTTGGGAGCTAAGCCCGTCTCTATGTTGGGGTCACTCCCATGAGGTTTCCAGAGATAATCTTATCTGAGCCTCCTGCAATAAAGCATTCATTCAGCCTGCCAACCTAGTCTCTGATCCTAATATTATTTACTTTGTTGCTAATATTATCTTTCTTTAGCCAATGGGAGACTCTTCAACTGAAGCTGGTGCCCTTTGGAGCAGGCAACAATTATTACTATTATCATTTTAAATCTTAGCACAACAGATTCATCTTGTGCTTGTTCTGTGGAACCAGTCTTTCCCTCACCAAGAGTCTGTGGTATAGAAAAAAATGGTTCCTTTTCTTAGACAATAGATGTGGAAACCAAGTCTTGGGTAAGAGATGTCCTACTGACTTTTCAGTGCCTTTTTTCAGAGTCTGTTATCTTCGTGTACTATCCATCAGTTAAGATTTCCTTGCAAGGGGCTGGAGTGGTAGCACAGCAGGTAGGGCGTTTTGCCTTGCATGCGGTGGACCTGGGTCCAATTCCCAGCATCCCATATGATTCCCTGAGCACTGCCAGGGGATTAATTCCTGAGTGCAGAGCCGGGCGTAACCCTTGTGCATCGCTGGGTGTGACCCCAAAAAGAAAAAAAATTCGTTGTGCAAATCTGGACTTTTGTCTGTCTCCTCATCTTCACTTTAATTCCTGAGTGCAGAGCCAGGAGTAACCCATAACCCCTGTGCATCGCTGGGTGTGACCCCAAAAAGCAAAATAATAATAATAATAATAATAATAATAATAATAAAGATTTCATTGTGCAAATCTGGACTTTTGTCTGTCTCACCATCTTCACTTTCACTCGGAAATTGGCCCACTTGCTTTGGCGAGACCTATCACAGTGAAATCACGCACCTAGGGGTGGGGGGACAGTCCTGCAGGAGAACCCGTGGTCCTCTGAGTGCAGTACAGACCCGCGTCCTCCAGAGTCCGCTGTGCCGCCGTGCCCGGCGCCTGCTCCAGCAACCTGGCGCTCCCGCACACCCTGGGCAAGGACACGGCCGAGGGGGCACGTCAGCGCTCCGACGTCCTCCCGGCGCCTCCTCTGATTGGCTGCGGGGCCCGGAGAGCCCGGTGGATGCGAGCGCAGCGCCGGGGGCAGCAACTCGCAGGCGGTCCCTGGGGTGGCATCGGCGGCCCTTGGCTGTGCTGTCGTCTGTCGCCGGGCCGGACCGGGCCGGGCCAGGATGCGGTCCTCCTGCGTGCTGCTCACCGCGCTGGTGGCGCTGGCCGCCTACTACGTCTACATCCCCCTACCCGGCGCCGTCTCGGACCCCTGGAAGCTGATGCTGCTGGACGCCACTTTCCGGAGCGCCCAGCAAATGGTGAGCCAGCCGATGCTCGGGGGTCCCTCGCGAGGGAGGGACTGGAAGGGGGTGGGGTGGGGAGGCGACCCAAATTTCCCCACCCCGACCCAGGGGAACGCGGACGGCGCCCCGGTCGCCTCTTAAGGTGGCTCAGCCTGGCATGACGCGTCGTCCTCCTCCGTGAGCGCATCAGGCTAGATCTGCGGCTGGGGGCTGCGGGGTGGGGGCGCGTGGGTGACTGGCTACAATTTGGCAACAGTCTAACAGTTCCTCTAATCTGTACCCTACCCCCAATCCCCCTCCTCCCTCTTCACCCACTCCTCTTAGCAGGCTTTCTTGGCAGGAACATCAACTTACATTAAAATTTAAAAAAAGAAAAAAAATTAAAAAATTAAAAATGTAGCACTGTAGCACTGTCCTTCCGGTTGTTCATCGATTTACTCCAGCGGGCCCAGTTACAGCTCCATCGTGAGACTTGTTGTTACTGTGTTTGGCATATCGAATACATCACCGGTAGCTTGCCAGGCTTTGCCCTGCGGGTGAGATACTCTCGGTAGCTTAAAATGGAAAAAAAAAATGAAAAAAAAAAACCCCAAACAAACAGACCTTGTGCATTCTGTTAACCTCACTCTCCCGGGAGAGGCTGGCAGTGAGGGAATTAAATGTTGGAGGAAGGTGTTTGGAGGGGGGAAACACATACACACACACACACACACACACACACACACACACACACACACTTTCAGTTTGGGTTTAAGAGCCCAAAAAACAGACTTTCGGTTTAGCCACCTTAAGAGCATAGGCGGGCACGGGCGGGCTTCCAGAGTCCTGTGACCGGAGTCTCTGTTCCTTTCGGGGGCAGCGGGCAGGGCCGCTGGAGAAGCCTCGCAGATCTCCCATTTCGGGCAAGCTTGGGCACTTGCAGCTCTGGCTAAGAAGGCCTGGAGCAGAAGCTCTGGAGGTGGCCGGTGTTTGCATGCTGTGTTTATTTTCTCTCTGCCCTGCAGCCTTGATATTCTGTCCTTGGCTGCCTTTCCTGCACCAAGATCCTCTTGACCTGCGCTGGGTAACATTTCGCTTTACCGTATCTTGCCCGAGCATTTCTCTTCCTGCATCCAGAGGAAGATGGGACTCTCTGGCTTGTGCTATGGATGGAGAGATGATTTCTGGTGGAATCCAAAATCCAAAGAGCCACCTGCAGCCATGTGGGTTATGACCTTTTGCCTAAATGGTATTTCTGGGCCACCGACTCTCCGTTTAAACTAACCTTGCTCCACACCAATTTCTCTTCCTTCCTCCCACCTTGGTCTCTAATCTGTAATTTTTGTTCACCCCACGCCCCCCCTTTTTAGGAATGACTAGAGAAAGGTAAAACAAAAATGACCCATGATTTTTCAAGAAGGTTGCTGTTGCCCTTCAGAGGGGTGGTGTTTGTGCTTTCTCGTGCATTTCAATTATCTCTAGGATCACTTAGTCATGGAGACTTTATCCCATCAGGAAACTCTTGAGGGTGTTATAGTCTGTTTCTAGCAGTGATTTTCTTTTCTTGAACCACCTAGACGTGCTCCACCTTCACGTTCCCTGTTGCCTCTCAAGAAAGGTCTATTGAAGCTACAGATTCTGTTCCCCCATTCCTCATTGGCATGTGAAAGAATGACCAACCCCCCTCTCTAGCCCTGCTTAAGTACCATGGTTTACTAAGTTGTTCATGATGTGTTTGTTACAGGCATTGAGTATTCCAACACCAATCCCACCAGGACGGTCACTTTCCCTGCACCATTGTCCCCATTTTCCAACCACCCCACGAGACTGTCCCTATTAACAGGAACAAAATAATTTCTTTTATATTGTTTCTTATGGGCTGGAGCGATAACACAGCGGGTAGGGTGTTTTCCTTGCAAGCGGCCAACATAGCCAACCCGAGTTCGATTCCTCTGTCCCTCTCAGAGAGCCCTGCAAGCTACCGAGAGTTTCTCGCCCACATGGCAAAGCCTGGCAAGCTACCCTTGATGTATTTGATATGCCAAACACAGTAACTAGTCTCACAATGTTACTGGGCCCGCTCGAGCAAATTGATGAACAACAGGAGGACAGTGACAGTGACAGTGATTGTTTCTTACAACCAAATGGCTAATAGAGCAATCAAAAAAATACTTCAGTTAAAGAAAATTTGTGAAACTTGTTGTATCTCACCATGGGAACATTAAGTTCTCGTCTGAGGGTTTACTAAGCTGCGGTTGCTATTTGAGCCTCCTGTGATAACTTTCTTCTTAATTGAGCTTAGTTGGTGCCTACGTTACATTTCGACCCCATCTGGCATGCTCCCGCTGGGTGTTAGTACTGTAGAGTTTGGAGATGTCACCCACGCCAGAATATTTAACTGGGCAGTGAGTGTACATGATGGTGGTAGTGGAATGTGGGTGTGGCTTCCGGCACTTGGGGAATTGTGGGAGTTGGTGGGAGGTTGCCCACCCAGACTCTGAGAAGGCCCAGAAAAGTATCAGCCAGAAAAACCTGGTATTTGGCAGTTTGGCATCTCTGTGGAGCTCAGTCATCGGGTGGTGGAGTCCGCTGTAGGCATGGCAGCAGCTGTTGGGGTGTGAGTGTGGCTGAGTGTTCTGAGGCATCGACAGGGCTGCTTCGAGTCTTAGATAATTATCTGAACCACAGGTGCCATATTAAAATCACTTAGGGAACTTTGTAAAATCCTAATTCCCAAGTCACACTGCATGCTAATTTGTTCCAAGTCTCTTAAGATATGTTTAGAGGAAGTGTTTGAAGACATATCTGGTGCCTGGAGGTAGCTCCCAACAGTGCTCAGGGGACCATGTATTGCCAGGGATCAAGCACAGACCTCCTGGATGCAACGCTTGTGCTCAGCCCATTGAGATATTCCTTTAGGCTCAAGGACTTTTTGGTTTGTTTTGTTTGGGGGCCACACCCTGCAGTACTCAGGGATTACTCCTGGTTCTTCACTCCTGATGAGCTCACGGGACCATGTGGAGTGCTGAGGATTGAAGTGAGGCTTGCTTGCTCTACTTTCTCTTCACCAGGCATTTGTATTTTTCGCCCGCTTCTTTCCTGCTTGTATAGTTTTTGTGATTTCTGATGCTTATACTTTGTTGCAGTGCTAGCTAGAGATTGGACCAACACCGCATTGTGCATGTGGCTTTGGGCATGTGCTGGATATCAAACTTGGGTCCTACTGCCTGCATAGCAGATAGATGCTCCGTCACCCAGTTTTTAAAATTGTATGTTATGACCTCTGAGGGGGTCATATTGAATGTGTGTGTGGCTTTTTAAAATAAATTTATTCACGACATATTATTAGTGAATGTTTTATTTTTAACACATATATACCTACATACCTGCAGTGATACAAAAATTTCTCCAGTGAAAAAAGGTCATGACTTTTATTGATTTATGTATTCCTTGCCATTCCTTTGAGTTTTGTTGGAGCAAGCAATATAAAATAAATTTTTTATGTACCTGCCTGGGCTGGAGCGACAGCACAGTGGCTAGGCCGTTTGTCTTATACGTAGCCATCCTGGCAAACCCAGGTTCGATTCCTCTGCCCCTCTTGGAGAGCCTGGCAAGCTACCGAGAGTATCTCGCCTGTACGGCAAAGCCTGGCAAGCTCCCCGTGACATATCCGATATGCCAAACACAGTAACAAGTGTCACAATGGAGACGTTACTGGGCCCGCTCTAGCAAATCGATGAACAATGGAAGGACAGTGACAGTGAAGTGACAGTACCTGCCTGCCAAGGTGGGAGGGAACGCAGGGACATTGGTGGAAAAAAGGCCACACTGGTGGTGGGATTGGTGTTGGTACATTGCATGCCTGAAGAAACTCTTGTTATGAGCAACTTTGTAAATCACAATGTCTTAACATACATAAATACATTTATTTTACAAAGGAAAGGGGTCATGAGTGGAAAGGGGTCATGAGTGGGAAAAGGTTAGGAACATCTGCTTTACTATTGGGCCTGGCCCTTTAAGGCAGAGGTTCTCAAACTTTTCTTCTTACTCGAATCACCTAGAGAGCTTTTAAAATTCGTAATACCTTTATAATATCCCTATCAGAATCATCTCTGTGGGTGGGATCCAATATTTCAGTATTTCTCATTCTGTTCAGGATATGCTTGTATACAATCAACGTTGAGAACCACTGCCCAAAGGCATTTATGATTTTTAAAATATTTGTATTGAATCACTGTGAGATGCAGTTACAAAGCTTTCATGTTTGAGTTTCAGTCATACAATGGTTGAACACCCATCCCTCCACCAGTGCACATTTTGCACCACCAATGTCTCCAGTGTCCCTCCTCATCCCAGCCCTCCCCCTGCCTCCATGGCAGGCAGTTTCCCCCATACTCTTTCTCTACTTTTGGGCATTATGGTTTTCAATAGAGATGCTGAGAGACTATCACGTTTTGATCCTTCAGCACACATCTCCCATCCCGAACGATCCCTCCACCCATCATTGACTTAGTGATCCCTTCTCTGTTCCATCTGCCTTCTCCCCCAGATCATGAGGCAGGACTAAGGAGCAGTATTCCTGGCCCTTATGTGTATTCATGGTTTTAAGGCAGCCCCAGGTGATTTAATGTGCAGAGAAGAATCTGAGAACCATTGTGCTGCTAAGTTGAACAAAATGCATTGGGGAATAGATTTTATATATTTCTTATACTGTGCAAATTATTTTGTTTGCATGTTTGTCAGAATGAGCCCTCTTACATTATCATGGATTAATTATCAGATTAGCTGGTTGATACTTTGTCTCTGAGAGACTAAGAAGATAAAATACTAGTAAGACAATTTTCACTGTCATAGCAAAGCTATCACAAGACTTGAGCAGTGGAAAACTACAAATGAAAGTTGTTCTGGGAAAGGCCAACAAGCAGAGAGACAGGTTTAGATTTAAGAGAAGGGTAGCAGGAAACTAAAGGGACAAAGCGGAGAATTTAGGGAAATTCTGAAGACTGGTTTCAAAGTACCATGTGAGCGGGGAAAAA